TCATTCCCATGTGGATTCCTTCCCACTTAATTTTGGAGATGTGCGTGACGAACATAGTGAGCAATTTCACCAAGATATCGTGACCATGGAAAGACGATATAAGGGAAGATATTCATCAAACCTTTTGGCGGATTACTGCTAGACACTCCTCCAAGAAGTATCATCATCCATCCACAAACAGACAAATGGAAAGTTTCTTACTTTCAAGAACATTTTAAACTTTATTCAACTTTCTCATACCGTTTTCATTCTAATACAACTAATAATGCCAATAATTTAATATAAACAATACTTCTAATACAAATAATTCGCCACATGATCTGTAGATTAATACACTACAGATTCCTCCTCTATTGAGTCATTTCCAAATTTGTTGAAAGGGGTATATGTAACGCACCTTTTCCAGAAAAAGTGGTACGGGATAGAAGATTTCTGATTTCATTTCCGCAATCAGCGTATGTGATTTAGTAAAGAACACATACTTTCATTTCATGGCAAACAACAAAGGTCAAATTTTGTCTTTGGCACTGTAATTTTTAAAAGACATTATGCCTGTAACAACAAAAGAACTTCATATTCAGGGTCAATGACCCCATCTCAATCAGGTTTTTGTCATTTCCCTGATCTATTGAGAAATTCTGAGACGGTCCTTCGTTTTGCTTATGCACGTAAACGAAGCTTCACTAGCTGTCCAGCCAATTTTCTCCATAACTGATATTCCCAATCCATGTAGCTGATGCTGCGGTGTCTGATTTTGAAACATATGATAATCTTGATGGGTACTTTGCCAGTCCATAAAACATTTTCAACAAAATTACTTGATCAATTGTGATTAAATTTTGTTGTTTGGTAGAGTGAAGGATGTTTAAGACAATGCTGTAGGTTTCATTTTGGTTAAAAAACCAGATTTTCAAACATTTTTTGGCATCTTCCTAGATCTGAAATATTTAAGACAGCTGTTTTTTCCCTTAATGAAAGATCTTCCTCAAAGATAGATCTTGAAATAAGATCATATACAATTTTTCAAAAATCTGAGTATATTTCTCATAGTTCTGCATGAAATATAGGCAATTTTTAATTTTCTTTGAACAATTATTTTCTCAATGGCTCCATCACGTTTGTTTAAGTTTTGTTGTTGGATAGTGGGAAGGGCGCTTAAGAGAAAGGTGTAATTTCAGTTCATTAAAAAACCCGAGGGTTTGAAAATTGAAAAAATGTAAGGATTGTCATTTTCCAACAACTACTATTATGATATTATTATAGTTAAGCAATTCGTCTATCGATGTCGGCATGAAGACCACAAATAACAATCAAAGATCACTCATACCTCAAGGCAAGTGCAGCTCATTCCATGTAGATATTTCATTGCACTTTCCTCTGAAACGCGAAATGTCTGTTATCATGAAATTTGTCCGAACGCCTCAATTGAAATTGTAACAATGTAAATTTATCGAAGTGTTTAGGCAGGAGTGCCGGCCTAATTATTACAGGAGGACCCTGTATTTTAAGAATGCTATATTTAGGAAAGAAAACTCTTCTTATATTCGAGTACACGATTACTGGTCAAGAAATGAAATTTCAGAAGCAAATTTTATTATTATTATTAATCATGTGATGCCTCAAGGTTTCTGGAAAGACCAATAGCAAGTCTGAAAACCTGAAGGAGAGAAGAAAGAACCAAAAAACACTTCACTTAAACCCTTAAAACATACCACAAAGTCTGACCAATAAATTCTAATTTAAATCTCTTGATGAAATTCCATAAGTATCAATGTATTGTACTTTATAATTGAGTAATTTGGTTAAAGAAAAAATCAACTCTATTCTTTATATTCAGAGTTTCAATTCTTAAAAGTCTAACATAGTCCTTTTGAAGAAAAAATGCCTTAGTCTGCTATAAAACTATGTGAAAAATAAGTTAACAGATTTAAAAAACACAGTATTTTCCTTTGAATTTCTCCATGCAGAAGTTGTGGTTTTGGTAATTTGTGGTATGTGGCCTCAACTAGTTGGGAAAATTACTACTAATGTGGTTTTTAAATGTTGGCACGAAACTTCCTAGAACCGTTATATGAATAGTACTAGTTCAGAAAATTTTATTGGGAAGCAAGAGTCTTGAGCAGCAGTAGGCAACATTTTAGTTTAGACAGAGCAGACCACTAAACTCTCAATTTACAATGTTGTGGATCTGTAACTTGTCAGAAGAATGTTCAAAAGAAGTTGCTGTAATTTTCCAGTGTTTCAAGGCAAATATTAAATTTTTGTTAATTATTTTTTATTGATTTTATTACAAATTCCTAGAAAAAATGTAAGTTATGGTAGGTCTCTAGTATGAGCTTCAGACCAGACAAGGAAATGCAATTAGACATTTTTTTCTGGAAAGATGTACCTATGTCTTTGCACAACCTTTCAAGAAGATATTTTGCAAGTTCTAGTAGTATTTGGTAACATTTCAATCCTCAAATTCTGGTATACTTTAACATTTAATAATAAAGATTTTTAACAAATTTATTATTTTCTTAAAAATAATGAACGTGTCGGGTGAATTTAAATATTATCTGAACTTCTTGGAGGACCATTAAAGTTATGCCATGGACTACCAGTTGCCGACACTGAATGCTGTGTACACTGACATTAACTGATCCTGCGGATCAGTTTCACTTCTGCTCCCATGACCCTTTCAATCATGAAGAACTGCAGCAATACCTACGACTACAGGTCAATTTTTACCTAATGAGTCAAAATTCTGTACTATCCGATTCATCGACTTCACCACAATTCTGTCACATTTGCGCTACATACATGAAAAACTTGAAACATTACCAAAAATTCATTCTCCAGGTTCACAATGATTTCATATGATTCTATCATGTGATGAAAATGCATACCTGAAAGAAAATCAGCAAAACACAATCTAATATGTATTGAAAAAATATTAGTCGTAATTAGCAATGAACCAGAGTAATGTAAAGACAAACATTTTGTAGAATTCACAAACCAAAATATGCAGTTGAAAACCACTCACTGCAACATCTCTACTATTATATATAATCAAGAAAATGTCTATCTTCATAACACTGAATCAACATTCAATATTTCCTTGCACTGGAATTTATGGAGAAAAAGAAAAGAAAAGCATTTGAAAAGAATTAAAAATATATCCACAGCCCAACAAAACATCACAAACCACAAGTTTTTTGGAAAATATCTAATAAGTAATCAAATTTTATTGCTTGTATAACAAATTAACCACTATTTGACCAATTCATCTTTTCAATCTGACAAGTATCACTGGCCATCCAAGTGCACATAAATTCTAAGGTACATTTTTTCACTACAAACTAGTTTTCTCTGCCTCCACAGCAAATCAACTAAAATTTTGCCAATGCTCCACCCACACTTATTTCCATTTAACAGTTAGTACAAAACAAACAAATTTTGTATTATATCGAATTTATATTATAAAATTATTAGCATAAAAACAAAATGTGTATCTGCAAATTATAAACCCATTTTTCTAATTAAAAACAAAATACATTGAAATTTTATAATAAGTAAAGTGCCATCTGGCCAAAATGTTTGTATATTTCATGGTAAAGACACTTGTGAAACAATGGAAAAAAAAGTACACAAAAGAGTGCAGTTCAATGAAAAGCAAAAATTTCAACAGCTGTGCTTCCTTACAATCAGATTACTGTGTAATATTTGCCATCCCCCCCCCCACACACAGTGAATCGTTGTATAGAAATTACTTAGAAGAAAAAAATTCTCAGCACTCTCACACAGAAGACAATGCTAGTTTAAAATAAATTACCTTATCTCAATAATACTACACAGCATTACATACACGAACTTCATAGCATAATTAAATCTAATGCCAAACATTAAGCCAAAAAATCAAAATTTGGAAATAAAATACCTGATAGAACATGAACATAATTGAGTTTTCAACAAATTGAAATACATACTAAGAATTAACAATTTTAAAAATCTTCCAGCAACAATGATAAAAGTTCTGGAAACCTGTTGATTACAGGGCAAATGGTCATGTTACTTAATTTCAGATTCCATGTCAATCCTATATTAAAATTCCTAAAGACATTTCATTAGAATAGATGCATCATCAGCTAAAGAAGTAAAAAGACAGCTGTGTCCAAAAGTTTCTATCACAGCAGTCAAGGTCATGGAGAGACTCAGGTTTATGAAAGGAAAAATTCTCATTTTCTTTGCTTTAAGTTTATTGGAGCAAACTATTAAATTATAAGCAATACTGAACTTTACAAGTAGAAATAAAAAATTACAATGACAGTGATTGAAATATTTATTCAAATATTGACAATAATGATACTGATAAAAAAAACTACAATAAAAGCCCTACTGGAGTGTAGATACTTTCATCCCTTGAAGGCACAGAACATGAGCCAAGAATGTTTAGTTCCGAGTTGAGGTCAATTTGTGGATTCCAAGACTCTCTTTACATTGGCAGATACAAAAAATATTAAAAAAATTGAAAGTTGCAAAGTGCTACTATCTACATTGATAAGACCAGAACCTATTATAGCATTGGAGTCATACAAGCTTAACTGAAAAGTATGCTGAAGTTGTTGCACATTACAATTTATACAAGTTACAAAAGTGCAAAATTATGTCTATTAAATAAATCAATAAAACCCAACATTCTGGCTCCTAAACTGTATCTAGATTTCTCTAAAATCATCAATAGCACTCAGATACATTACTATCTCACATAAAGGGCAGACATTGCTTTTTCGCTTCAAAATGTGGGATACAGCTGGAATAGTCACCGAATTATCTAGTCAACATTAAGAGAACTGATTGCAAAGGATAAGTTATTGCTTCCAACAAGTTTTATGTATGATTTATTATGATGCCCCAAATTCTGCTTTCTATGTCCTATTAGTCCCACTGTAACCCCACCTCAAGGTTTTTGAACAGTGAATTTAGTTATTACAATGCCATTGAAGAGGTCTCCCCATTCAAAAGCCGTGAACCTTTAGTTGCTCAGGCTTAGCCAATCCAGACTTGGTCAGCCACTGACAAATATTCTCTCGCTGATCACCTTGGAGTTGAAGCACCTCGCCGTACTCTGGATGTTCAATCACAGTACCATTGCACGCAAACTCCTATAAAAATTAAGTCAACATCTTAATTCATTATGTGGAAATTTAACAAAAAAAAATTTCTACAAAAATCACTCAATTAAAACAATGTTGAATACCAACGTAAAATAATGAATGTTTAATAATCAATTTTCAATCCATACCGTATCCACAATAATTCAGGGATTACACTGTCATTTTGACGCACACCAACAATATACAAAATACTTGCCTTTTTACATGCTCGTACAATTTTCTTCAAGTCATACTCCGCCGATAGACCTTGTACGGTCGTTAGAGTTTTACGACCATTCCGTTGTTGAATTCTTATATGCACGAGACCGTCTTGGACATCATCATCTGCACCCTTGATTGCATCAGCAAAGGGGTCTGTAAGAGAATCAACGATATTTGTTATGCCACAGGGTATCTAAAATATGTACGTTGAAAACTTCCAACATAATTTCCACACTACAGTATGTTCTCTAAAACCATGCTCACATCAAATTTAATTCCAATAACATCATATTAAAGATATATAAAAGTCATTCCTCTAGGTTTTCCGAGAATGGCCAGTAATTCTTCTACACGGAGCAATTTAGTTGCATTTATTATGTCAATACCCTGCCATTTTGAAGAAAGCAATCCGTTTAAAATCCGAATGACTGGCCCAAATTAGCAACTTACCGAATGTGTTAAGATTCTGGATGGACATACGACACACAAAAGTTTTCACTTGACGATATACACCTGCAAATTGCACAAATTCACTCAAGATGTAGTTGGATTACAGCCTCAAATACTAGACACTCACAAGAGGCTCACCCTTCCCTTGCCTTATTTCTTGACCGGAAACATTGTTGTGAAAATAACACTGACGTCATGCGTTACGTCATGTCCTTCACTACTAGCACACTCTGCCGGAAGTAATCCGGACAGATCTGGCGGGAATTGCCGGTTTGTATTTTGAGCCCCGAATGTGGCCCTACGTAGGAATTTGAAACCATTGGTCTCTGTGCGAGGCAAATGTGAGTAAATAAAAATATGATAATTGCTTAAAAAACTAGTGAATAAAATTATAGAATAAATTAATATTAAATAGTAAAAAGAAGCTGCCTAAGCAAAGCCTACATTTTGCAGCAAGGCTAGGGAGAGGGGGGTTAGAATATGTGAGAAATATGTAAAATCGGATATAATATGCAACATTAAAATACTCTAATTAACTACCCATTTACATAGTACGAAATTACTTTTATAAAAAATGTCCTAACTACATTTTAAAATTAATACAAAGATTTCAAATATCATTTGGAGAGAAGAAGTTGATGCACCCTTTGCATCATAAAACTTTTTGCGTCCGTAGTAAAAGCTTAATCTGTTACTATCCAGAACTGTAGTTTAACATCAGTCATTGACACACCATTCATTTTCATTTTGATTAATACATACGAAAATAGGCAATATTTAGACATTTAAACATAAAATAGGCATTCATTTTTGTAATAGGCTATGTAAGAAATTGAAACCATTGGTCTCTGTGGGAGGGAAATGCAAGTAAATAAAAATATGATAATTGCTTAAAAACTAGTGAATAAAATTATACAATAACTTAATGTTAAATAGTAAAAAGAAGCTGGTGAATAAGTAATCTAAACTGTTGCGTATTGCATAGAAAGAAAATATAGGCAAAATCCGCAGCTTATGTAGGTCCATTACTTAGACAACAACTGTAAATGACACAATTGAAAATGGCGGAATAAAAACTAGACATTGATAGAATAAATAATGAATACATTTGAGGAATATACTTAAATACAATACTGATATTTATAATTACAGCACACGTCGTAGAAATCACGTTCATCAAGTATCTGTATCGACAGCTCACTACCAGAAATCCACATAAAACACATGGACGTTACTTTACAACGCATTGCCATATGACATTAAATTATTGAAATCGGTACACAAATTTAAGTAAAAAGTAAAATATTTTTTGCTGCATACCTGTTTCTATACAATTAGAAACTATACTGATAACCTCGGGGCAATGATCTCCATTTCGATCAGGTTTTTGCCCAGTTTCCCTGACCCATTAAGCAAATGCTGAGATGGCCCGTAGTTTTGCTTCTGGACGTAAATGTAGCTTCACTATGCGCACGTTTTGTTGAACTCTCCTTTTGTCTGTAATGGAAGGAGTACAAACAGGTAAAGGCAAGTTATTATTTTGTTAACAATGCAGAAAAATCAAATCTGCAGTTTGTTTATTGTAGGGAATAAGTTTTCTACAACTCAGGATCGAAAATGTCTAGTTTTTCAAAAGTTGCCAATCTTTCGCTTTTAAAAAATATTTACTTATTTATTTATTTATTTACTTATTTATTTATTTATTTATTTATTTATTTATTTATTTATTTATTTATTTATTTATTTATTTATAAGTTTTACCAATATTTCAACTAATTATAGTTAAAATTATGGGAAGGGATTATGGAACTAAAGAAAACGTGCGCAGATGATCTTCTCTCTCATGCATCACATACAGTTTTTACTGTTTTTTGACTAAATAAATCTTAATATCTTTGTACTATTTAAAAATTATGAAAGAATTCCTAATCATATGGTACTCATTGTTTTCGGTGACGGCGTTGTCTATGTCCGCCATCCCTTTTTCTGTGACGTCTCAAGTGGTTGTCATGATTAAAGACGCGATGTGTAGGTAATTACATATTTTTTTGTTTTTCTACTTACCGTTCTCAAAATTGTAATCTTAGCGAATCGTCGCTGTCTTAACACATAAGCCATTTTTTTGTTACATATTTTTACATATTTAGTACTGTATTACGTATCTGACATACTTTACTATTTTCACAAAATATTTTTTTATTATTTGTTTTGTGACCTTTAACCTAACTTGCCTAGAAAAATTGGCGATCGCCGATGTGAATGCAGAATGTTTCATTGATCGGTCGTAGATATTGCTGGGCGCTGTAATCTTGAATGTAGATACCACCAGTTTGATTTGTTCTATTGCGTCTTGTCTATCTGTTAAGGTACCTAACACAATTTTTAGGTTTCTCAATTCAGTCAAACCTCAAATAGAATGTTTTTTTTATATCAGTTGAACGCAAAACTGGGATCATTGTGCTACGCGTTTAGAATTCTTTCAAATTCAGTCAGCCTTCATACTGCTCGTTGTGTATATTTCGCGAATGTTCATTCCCGACAGAGCTATGGCATACTATTTTGAGGATATACATCTTAGAGCAAACAGACTTTTCGATTACAAAAAAGAATTGTATGAATAATAAGCAAATCCCGCCCACGTGATTCTCGTAACCCTCTCTTTATTAATTATTGAAGAATTTTACCATTACTTTGTCTCTTGATATACAAATAAGCTGTATTTGTCAAAAATGACTTAACGGAATGGAATGTATTTTCAGCAAACGCCGGTCTATTATCTTAACACTCGACGTTGTGAAGTAATCATTACGCTTCGGAATTTGCCTTTTTGCCTTTCATGGAAAACGAAATCTTTTAGGTTACTTATCCATTTTAGGAGAATTATATGCGAATTTTATAGTGCCTATAAATGTCTAGTTCACTAATAAATCAATATTTTGTGTTTTAATGCCGAAATGTTGCCTAGTTTCATATTTATTGATCAAAATGATATTATCCTTTATAAAAAATTGTAGGTTTTTTCGTTTTTAGCTTGCGGAGTTCGGAGAAACAGCACAACTATCGATAAATCTGTGTTCCGTTCTGCAGTGGGTATCTTGTATTATAAAACACGTGCAAAATTGCTGGTGGTAGACGAGTTATTTTTTACATCGAATTTGTAACCATATTTTTTTCAGAAACGGCTCCAAATATTTTCTTCTCGAATACATAAAAGGACGGTATAAAAATTGGTGCCGGTCCCATTTTTTGCGAACTCTCTGTATTTTCGAAAATTCCAAAAATGCAAAAGTACAATTGCATTTGTATTGCAAAAGTACAATATGGAATACAGATATTTTTGTCGTAAATGAAATATGTTCTAAAAAATTAGATCTATAAAAAAGGTCGTGTAGAATTTATTTAAACGAGTGTTTTTGTGAAGTTTCTGTTTGATAATAAGGCATATTGTAAAAATAATTCAAAAACTGCTACCATTTTCTTCTTATATTTATTTTCTAAGGATAGTGCAAGGGAGGCTTAAAATAATGGTTGATATTTAATTTTCGTTAAACTCTCAGAACTTTTGAAAATTGCAAATTTAGAAATATTTTTTGATATTATGTGAGAAAGTATGTGCTGTTGTAACACCACTTATTACAACATTTATGTAATGCATAACAATGAAAAACTTGTACAATGTTTTCAATTATGTATAAATAAAATGTGAGGGTAAAGATTATACTGTGCAGCATTTAAGTTTCAACTTGCATTTACGAAGGTTGCCTTCGGTATGTTTCGGTACGAAGGTATGTTTCGGGATTTGGCAACCCTGGTGTTGCAATCTGGCAACTGACAGCTCTATCGTAAAGTTGGATGTTTTGAGGTTATACGTACTCAAAACGTTTTGACATACGAGCGCTATTTGTGTTGTTTACAGTAACTTCAGCCAAGGTAAAGATTCACCTTGGCCCCAAAATGGCATTAGATCGTGAACATTTTCGTGCGATTATTGTTTACAATTTTCGACATGGATTAACTCAGCAACAGTGCATGGATGAACTTAATTCAATTTTGGGTGATGAAGCTCCATCAAAGACCAGTGTTTATCGATGGTATGGTGAATTCAATCGTGGTTGTAGTTCACTCGAAGACGAATATCGTGAAAGTCGTCCAAAATCAGTTGTTGTTCCGAAAACCATTGATGCTGTGTATGAACTGATATTGCAAGATCGTTATGTGACCTATCGTGAGATTGAGACAACCTTAGACATTAGTGGGACCAGCGTACATTCAATATTGCATGAACATTTGACTGTCAAAACATTGGTTCCCGTTGGATCACACACAATTTGTCAATCGCTCAAAAAAAGGCTCGTGTCGATTGGTTGAAAGAAATCCTCAAACAATACGATTGCGGTGCTTCGAAACACGTCAATGACATCGTGGCAGGTGATGAATCGTGGATTTACGCGTATGAGCCCGAAAGTAAACAGCAGTCGACTGTATGGGTGTTGCAAGATGAGAAAAATCCAACAAAAGTTGTTCGCGCACGAAGCACTTCCAAACAGATGGTCGCCTATTTTTTCGAAAAACACTGGACATGTCGCAACCGTACCAGTAGAACAACGCAGAATAGTCAATTCTGAGTGGTACACAACGATTTGTTTGTCAGCTGTCTTCCAGGAAATCAGGAAAACCAACCGCAGAAGACGGATCACTCTTCACCACGACAATGCAAGCTCTCACACATCAGCTCAAACAACTGCATTTTTGAGCACCCAGAACATCGATTTGATAAGTCATCCGCCGTATAGTCCTGTCTTGGGACCGAATGGGAAAGATTTTGAAAAACAATAAAGTGGTTTTCGATGATTAATATTTGTTTTTGTTAACTAATCCTGAAATATAAAAGGCAACCCTCGTAATGCAATGCAATAAGGGAGCTTCTGTGACTCGGCCTTTTTTGTCCGAAATTCCCAACAATGATAAAAAGGATTCCTATGAGGATATATCAGAACAATGATGAAAGCAAACACTTCATGAAGGTATGTATGTATATATTGCATCACCTGCCGGATTCGCTG